AGTAAATATATCAGTCTTAGATTGTATATCGTGTAAACAGGTTACCGATCATGCATCCTTATTGATTGTTTCAAATTTTACACGAGCGACAATAAATGATATTCATACTTGAGCTTGGATAGTTATGCCATAACATCTCCTTTAACGCTCCACCATCACGATGCCTAGGGAAGCTTGAATACTGATATAATTTCCAATATCAACTAATTCTTAAACTATTTTGGACACATGATGAAATAGCAACAATCAAATAATAGTTTCGTTGTTTGCAAATGATGAATTGGAATGTATTCACACTCTATATATGCAATGCAATGTGTTTATAGAACACCTCTACTTACTATAACCTGTGTTAGGATCTCTACAAATGTTCCTTCTTTCTCCTGGTTGTTTTTGTTTCTGTTCGTACATAAACGAGAAACTATGAGAACACAAATTCTGACATTTAAACTCTAAAGGAAGCAAAATTTGAAGAAGCAAGTAAATATATCAGTCTTAGATTGTATATCGTGTAAACAGGCACGAGACTGATCTAAGATACTAGGCTTACAATTTTGCACGCCAGACTGTCGTTTCGTCTTCAACAGACTCATCAGTGTCGCTTCAATAAAAGTTAAAACATTTCTGTTCACTATAACTTTTCAATTTGATTAACACATTTTGTCTCATGTGTACTAGGCAACGTTAATTGCATGTACTGATCGTAAATAGGAGCCTTCTTTTCACTATCGCTGTACGTTGACTGCATCTTCTGATTTGTTGCCGTATCCCTTGATCGCTCGTATGACCCTTTGTCTGCATAGTAGTTGACTATACAGTATTGGTTTGTTCAATGTTGTACGGTGACTTACAGCTAATATCTCCGTTATTTTGACGTTGATGGATAGTGGTTCATTGGCAATCGTACCACATCTCCTTATTTGTATACTGTACATTTAAATCTGTTCCTTGTACCATGTAATGGTGTACGTCTGTATTGATAGAAATGTATTTGTAATATTTGTCGAAAATAACATAATTATTAGACGGAAGGAAATTAATACACCTAATTATTTTGATTACTTTATTTTGAAAGCAGTTATGATACATCTGGTTAAGCAAAAATAAATACAAAGGCATAGTGCTTCATCAATCAACAACATGTTATTTAATAATAAATCTAAACAACAAACACGCTAAAAAATAAAAGGTAAAATGACACATAAAGTTAACTGTTTGTGTTGAAAAAGGTTATGGAAACTTGGTGTTTAAAAATAGGTTGATACAATCGTTACCAGAGTGTTTTAATCATTCAAAAGGTTCCCTAAAACAAATATAACAAAGAAAATGATTTCTTGCTACCATCAGCTACGTGTGTGTTGATACAAAAGTCTGCGTTGAATATTTGTGTTTTCTAAATCACAGTGTATTTTATAAAACTTCAATTCACACTGAGGTTATACAACGAGAGAATCATTCCAGTTTGTTAGAATTTGCAGTACTTGACAATCCTTTTAATTTCTTTTTCCGTGTGACTACAATTATTTATTTTCCTAAACACACAATTTATTACCAGTTTATTCTGCGCTTGTATAAGTTATAAAGCTTCAAGGTAAACAAATTAATACGGACAGAAAAAAAACTATTTGATTAAAATTTATCAAACTATAGGAAAATCCTATAGTTTCATTTACTCTCGTGGGTACCTTTCTTCGTCCAGTGAAAACAAAATGTACTTTCATGAAAACATTTTAAATTTGAAAAAAAAATTTGCATTGACCAATAGTAAACTGGCATTCTTGGATTGAGTCCTGAAAGTATTGACGAACATCTACCAAGATAAGCCATCAAAAAAGTAAGCATCGAATAAAATTTATAACCACGGTTCTTAATGATTTTTTTAATTCATTTTTAAAGCCTCACCAACGAAAAAAGAGATGGTTGTCAATAAGACAGGAACCCCGACGAAAATACGAGATAAAAAAAAAACAAAAAAAAAACAAACAACTGTCTTCAAGAAGTGAATGTATTAACCATAATACAAGCAATGCATTGTCTAAGTATATTGTTATTCAAACAAAGTCCATCTAGTGACAGGCTATCAACATTATTCTCTTAAAAAGACATTGACCTCAAGAAATAATTTCAGCGTCAATGCTGACATTGCTTATTTTATATTAGTAAAGTTTCATGAGGCGGGCTACATTTCATCGAATCAAGTTTTAGTACTTCATCCGTATCATTTTGATATTGGCCAAAAACGTAATGGTATATACACATAAAAACATACGAAGTGTTGATAAAAGTCAAACAAGAACACGTATTAAAAAATGTACAACAACAAAAAAAAACCCAGCAAAATGATGAAAATTATTCATAGCATGAAGTAGAATACACATCTATCGAAGTATTATATCATATCAATAATCTTTTTCTTGAAACATAACGCATCTATCACATCGAACTTGAGATAAAGTAAAAAGTATAAAACAGATACAGTTAAGTCTGCCTCAAATCTTGACCTCCATCTAGAAATTGACAATGAGGGTCTGTTGAAAACAAAACTTTACGACACAAAAGATGATTTTAGCTTACAAATTGTGAACTTTCCATTTCTGTGCAGCAACATTCCAGCAGCGGCTGAATACGGAATATATATCTTTCATTTGATACGATATTCAAGGGCTTGCATTTCATATATCATGATTTCCTTGATAGAGGGTTGTTGTTCACAAGAAAGCTTTTAAACCAATAGTTATAATTGAAGTTAAAATCGTCCCTTCGTAAATGTTACGAACCCCATCACGAGTTGGTTGAACTTTATTGAATATCTGTTTCACAGATGACAATAGATATTTTCCAATATTCGAAACTACAATTTTGTCCCCTTTTCCACATGTGACCTACCGAATTAGACTAATCAACGGGTTTGTACTAACTTGAGCAACACGACGGGTGCTGCTTACCCTTCAGTCTTTAGTTTTCTGAGTCGTGTTTTTGTACTGTTGTGTGTCTGTGTGTCTGTGTGTCTTTTTCCTTTTTAACCATGGTGTTATCAGTTTATATTCGACTTATGAGTTCGAATGTCCATTTAGTATCTGACGCCTCCCTTCTTATTATAAACCATGTGCAGTGTGTACACATATATTTCCATCTGAAGATATATTATTCTAAGCATAACTACGACACGTGTGTCCACAAACTACCTGCATACTTAACAAATGGGTTTAAAAACCTGACAATTAGTATGTTGCTACTTGCAAAAGCACATCGTTTCTACTGTGTTTAACGTGCACTAGTTATCAATACACCTTGATTCTTATTCTTATGATGGCTGACGCAATTACCTAACGCAATCAAAATATTTATTCCATTTAATCATTGAGACGATACCAGATGGTAAGCAAAGCATTATAAGCAACTCACAGCCATTTGTTATTTCAAGTGCATTTTTGCCATTCATGAAGAGGATTAGATTACGATAGGTCATGTCAAAATTCGTTATTTTTATCTTATTATTCATAAAAGAAAATAAGGACATTGATATTTTTGGTAAATTCCAAAGGCTTATTCAAAAGACTGGTTCTCGTATCTATAAAATAACAATTCAAAATTGAAATACAGCATATACTTATGACTCTGTTATCATTGATCAATAATGAAATAATTCATGGCAGCCGTGTATTTGTTTTCTTTAACCATGGGTTAAGTATTTATATTCTATTATTTTATCTCGAGCGAAAGCGAGGTGAGTTGTTATCACCGTCTAGTTCATTTTATCTGGAATCCTTTTCAGAAAATTGCTCTTAACTATCGAATACGTAGATTTACGGAATATCCGATCATGAAAAAATTATACCAATAAATATTAACGTATATCTGAAATAAAAACTTTGCAATAAAAAAATTACGTATATACAATATCAATATAGGTAAACAAAAAAAAAAACATAATATGTAGTAAATGAAAAATAATCAAACAAAAAACTACATCGTGTTTCCAATACTTACAAACTTTGATTTTACTCCGTTTTGTATAATGTCCCAAGGATTTCATAAAGTGTACAGTCATACCTATTATCGTATTTAATGTCTACTCATGTAGCCCTATTATCCATTACATAAATCATCTTTGTCGTTTTCATTTAATCATGAAAAGAAGTTTTATATCTGCATCACACTAAATGTGTGTTATCCGACATGTACAAGTTACAGCCCAACATAACATTGCAAATACTGTGTCCGATGTTTTACAGGTTCTAAAGAATTTTTTGATATCATTTGTAAAGCGACACCAATGAACAAAAAAATAAATGGAGTTCAATGCAAAAGAAGTGGCTATTAAGATCTAACAAACATTAAATAGTATTCCGTAATTTTAATGTTTACATGTTACCTATCTATTTTGACTGTACATTGAGGCCTTTTGGATTAAACATTTAACAAGTTTTTTTTTTACTTTTCAAACTTTTGGGTTTTAGCGTACAAGATGAGGTTTATTTCGGGGAAAAGTTTTGTGTATTTAAGAAGTATAGTATTTCATTTGTATGATATGCAAAATATCAGTTGAGTAAAACCATAGAACAAGTCAAAAGAACTTTTTAAGTTTTCTTCTATCAATATGCAGCAATTTTTTGACATTACTACTCAATGTGTGCTAGATCTTCATAGCCAATCTTTTTCAAACTGTTTGGCATTTTACTCCATTTATTAATCAATTTTATTATATTTCTTAATTTCAGATTTCTTACAAATCTTTCAAAAAGCAATTAACGTCTTTGTGAACTCAATATTACTGTTAAACATATATGCATTAAACAACAGCAGGTTCACAAGAGAGCAAAGGGAATGTCTCTGGTCAGTTGAACAGAGTATTTTCAATAACTCGAATGTCTTTTCCAATACTTTTGTACGCTTGAGCAATCATCCGCATGGTGGGTCTGACATTCTTTGCTTTACAAATAAGCCTCCATTCATCTACAATATCCTTGTTCAGTTTCACCAAATCTCGTTTCGTTTGCCTGTGATTGATGGTATCCCATGTCTCGAGGTTCATACCAAGTTCGACCAGAAAAAATAAGGATTTGTTTCCAATCAAAGGTGCCATTTTATCAATGTCTTCACCAGAAGGAACCAGATCCCATTTCACTGGATCAGTATCTGAAATAACATGAAGTAACACTTGTGTCCTTATTATCTTTACTGTTTCGATACTTATTCATCATTGACTTTCAAATATTTATTTTTGAACGTTCCTGATGAAGGTGAATCAAGAAAAGTGCTTTGGACACATATAATTTACAAAATTTATGTAAATTCAGTCCTGCTTTTTTGCATGTTTTGCGAATCCATCATGTATGGACTCCACAAATTTCATAAAGGAATTAATGATCGAATCTTTGGCTGCTAATTAACTGACGGAATTTGGAACTAAAGTTTACAGATCGTCACATAAATATGCTTTCAACCCAGAATCTTGGAACACGTATATAATAAGTGATTTCATATAGCCATCTTTATGTTTTGCTTTTTGTGTGTGTGTGTGTGTGGGGGGGGGGGGGGGGGGTGCACACGAAAAATAGTCAGATGATAGAGCAATGTTAATGTGTTTTTCATATTATTTGTAAAGTAAGCTTAGGTTAAACAGTTGTTTACATATTGTGTGCATTAACATTTCATTATAGTGGTGTTGTCGTTAAATTCACTACATACGGAACAAAAAACTGTCATCGAAGTAGGAGGCAGGAAAAATTATTCAAAAGAAATACCTTTCAAAGAATTGTGATAAAATGAAGGAGTTTCACTGCAAAGAAACTCACTGTACACGTGTTTTATAGCATTTCAAGGATAAAAAACATATTCAACTTGTTTGGGTGTTAAATTGGAATCATATGACTGTAAGATCCCCAAAGAAATCCATAATCCCACACATATGCACATGACACTAATGAAAACTGTTAACCCTTTGCAAACAGTCAAAGCAATGCATTGTAGAGAATGCAAAGTAAACTTAGATAACCAAACTTGTGTTTTGCATAGTTTTCAAATGTACATCTTATATTGAACTAATAGGAATTTGTTATTTTATTAAAACAATCTAATCACTAGCTTCTGTACGTGAAATGAACCAAATACCACCAAGAAATGCAAGTTAAATGATGCGATGAATTATATGCAATATACCTATATATATAATAATTTTTCGTATAATTTTCTAGTGTGAAAAGAAACAAATTATTAATACTATGTATAGTTTATGTTCTTTTAGTTTATACATACACATTATCTATTCTATACAATAAACACAGACGATTTCATTGTAAAAATATGCTTACCAAAGTCCACAAATGCGCCTCTCATTACCTGTACAAAGCAGATGTAACTATGATTAATATTTCACAATGCAATTAAAACCACATCAATTCATGAGAACCCTTTTTCTTAACACGTCGTTCTAGAGAACAATGTTAGTCAACTATTTAACAATTTGATGTCATTTCGTCATTTTTTTACAACACTGAATAATGACACAAACAAGTCTGCTTCCTTGTATTTAGATCGACCCAATGACATGCCCACACTAATATCGGGAATTTTCTGAATTCATAAAGTTAAACGTGAATATATTTATGTTTTTATCTAGTGTAATGCTTTATGTGCTCATCACTTTGTTGTACACTATTTCCTTTACACAGAAACACGTTTTTCAAAACGATGTGGACAACTAAGATGAAAAATAAAACCTATATGACTTACTTCAACCAATGGATGACATAAGCAGAGATCTTCTATAACACACCACTTTTTCCTTGGATCCATAATTTAATCCAATTATTGCAACATGAATAAACACGACGTTAAATGTTTTGTTTTATAACTGCAAACTTCAAATAAAAAGAAATGACACTTCATGTGACGATAATATTCTATTGTAATTCACTACGTAGAAGTGTGATTTCAAACTACTTTAGATAAGAAAGGCCATTTTGTTTATAAATACATTTAAGCAGTTCAATAACACCTTACACAAGTAAACTATCAAATTGTGTTGTATAAAAAACATTTACCTTGCACAAAGTGTGTGGATTTTGTATCTTTCCTTCCACTACAGCTTTTTTAATTTTTCTGAAAGTCAGTGTTGATTGCTCGTGACAAAGACATAATGCTTTGAATTTCAGTAGCTGTGGTTCAGGTTCTACGATGAAGAGGTCTTTCCATTCGGTGTATGGTAGTTCAAGATGTGTTACCAATTCGCGAATCTCATCTACATTGTAAAGGATTGAAAGTCGACGAAGGTGAAGTGCTGACAAATCTTCACTTAGAAAATCTTCATTCGTAACTGTAGAAAAGGAATGCAATAATGTAATGTCAACAGAAAGCTATTAATTGTGAATAGTATCCAGATTTGAGATGAGGTTAATCTTAATGTTGAATTATCGATAGAATGTAATTGTTAATCCAAAGGTATAAACAAATAAGCAACATAGTGTATTAATTGTTCATCCACACTTTAGAAATGTTTGAGGCATAAACAGCCTAAGCCAGATTTAAAACACTTTTTTTAAATTATGTGTTTCAATGCTAATCTAATTGATGTAATCTTTCAGCTGTCTAGAATCGAGCGACCCTGCTTAGTCTATCGTACTAAACTAATAGCTTGATATCTTTGAGAAGTGTTAACAACCACTGGGACGATGCCGCTTTTGATGTATGTTTCGTTCCTAAGAGTATCACAAACCCGGTAGTCAGCACTTTTTCACTAACACGAAATATCATTGATATATTACTATTTTGTAAGTTAACTATTTCGTAAATGTTGAAATTATTCAAAACATAAAGGTTTGCAACCCCCATATAGAGAAAATACATAGCCGTATTTGAAACAATTTGTCGGAATTGTTTGGTTGCAATGCATCCTTACTGCAAAGGTCATTTGTCTAAACGATAATTTTAATTCGAGCGTCACTAATAAGTCTTTTGTAAATGGAAAGTGCATCAGGTGTATTAAATCCCAGGTTTGATATATCTGTTGAGTGTTGACGCATTAGATTGACACGAAGCATACACACAAACTAATATAAAGACAAAAGAAGCAATAACGGAACGCTAGTGTAAAACAAATTACAACTTAGTCATACATGATGTTCTGTATAGTCTTCAATTGAAAATGAGTGATGACAAAAGGAAAAATATAAGTAAAATGATGTTTTGTTCAGTTTTGGTTCAGTTTATCATCAATTTGATTTAAACAATACCCATAGAAAGTTAAATAGTCCATATTTAAAACAAAATAGTCCATTTGTCTAAAACTGTGTGATAAATTAAATTTGATATATCATTTTAACTTTTTTCTTACTATGTGTGGCATCTGAGATCTTGATAATATCATCCGATTCATACGAATAATTAATTCCGAGTTTAAAGAAAAAGAGAGGAATGGGGCTGGGTAGACTGGACTAGTTTTATAAACAACAAACTAATTTTTGTTCAGTAACAAGCAGTGACATGTTTTTTCTTCAAACCAACGTTTTTATTTTATTTCAACATTTTGTTTGCCACAAACCGTTTTAAAATCTTTTTTCGATTCTTTCACCTTGTTTTAAAATCAAACAGTGTATACAAAAACTATACTATAAAGTATTAAGAAATATTCGAAACACTTTTTTCTCTAATTTTCAATTAATTTTCAATTTTTTCGGTCGGTGTGAGATAATATTGCTCATCTTTAGTGAACACTTTGTTCTCGGCAAATTATTGGCCGAAATTCAATTATGACGTCAAATTGTCTTCTGAAGTTGCTTTCGTGACGTCATGCAAAAAGGCGACCATGTCTGATGACGTCACATGTACAGAAAACACAATCTCCTGAAATTATTTAAAAGGAAGCACAAACTTCGGCAAAAGGTCGGCAAGCCTCACGTTTTAAATTTTAAAATCAAACTGTCTGGAGTGGAGAAATATCGTAACACACTTGATGCAGTGGTGAAATATATATGTTTCTAAAATGAAATATGCTCAGTATGTTAACATTGTTAAGGTAGTATCAGAGTTTAGATTACGAAAAAAGTTTTAATTACAAGTAATAAAAAAATATAGAGAAAACAGTTTATTGCATTGAGGAAGAGAAAAAAAAAAACATGATTTATTGATTCGATGCATTAATTAACAAAGTTTGGAATTGAACAAAATTTTAAATAATTAGATAGAAACTAAAAACGAATGTAGGTGTTTTTTCACTGCTTTAGAATTTAAATCTAACAAACTGATATTTCGTCAGTGTATTTCCGCTTGCATAATTGTATTGCTTAGTTATCATGAATACATATAAAGCAAAAGAAGAATTATTATTCAACAAGTGTTCAAAACTTGTATTCAAACATTAGTCAAAAGAATTGTTTTTGACATATTGAAATGAACCCTTAAAAGAAATTAAAATCATCCCTTTGAAAAGTTTTCGGACGCCACCACGAATCGGTTCATCGTTATGAATATTTGTTTCACAGTTGACGACGGATATGTTACATTTGTCGTAATCTCAAACCCATTCTCTCTTCCTCAAATGTGACCTACTAATGTATATTATGTATATTGTACGGTATGTTTAATCAACTACAAACACTGTTTTGCCGTTTGCTTAGGGACTTTCCGTTTAGAATTTTCCTCGGAGTTCTGTATTTTTGTTATTTTACTTTTTATAGGCGTCTTTGTCAATATAATATCAACTAGTTGATCAATTAAATCATGTAAGCGTGTCTTTCTCAATAAAAAAATTAAAAAATGAGACAACAATCCACCAAGTTAAACGACAAGGATGTGAAGAACTATTGGTCTTTCATGCTCTACAGCGTTGCATTTTAGTTGTTTTTTAAACTGGTTTGTGTTGAACGTAACTGGTGTATCCTATCAAGAATGTCTTTCATTTGTAAAGAGAAAGAAACGTAGAAATTTTTTAATTATTGGATTACTTACACTAACGAATTCAGCGAATATTAGAATCCAAGAATAATGATGAATCTACAGTAAAATATGTATGTCATTGAAATATAAAGTTTAAAGATAGGATCAGAATGCACATAGTTGTATTTTTAAAACAAATGTTCTGATCTAATAGTTCAATTACCTTTTCTGTTATCCAAGAGGAAATAATAAATTTTGCATGGTTTAATTTATGTCCGGAACAAAGCCAGATACTATCGATTTTTCTGAATTCTCCAATGGATAGCAGGCATGGATCTTTTGCAACACTACCGCAAAAGTTCATTTCAAAGGTCCCTACGCTTAGTTCAGAGTTATCACTGCTGGTTTTGATATATAGCTGACTTATGTTCTCCAGGGCTGATTTCAGACAATCGCAGATACTTGAAGTCTTTCAATATCAAGACTTTAGTCTTAGCATGAACAAGACGGAAAAAAATTCGTTCATCTTCACAGAGAATATGACTTTCCAAAGATGAATCAATTGTAAATACTGCAGATCTATGGAACAGCATGTCGTCCTTTCTATCGCCGTATTTTTTCACATCAAAAATACTGAGGCAGTAAGTGATGAACCTGAATGACAAAGCTGGTGGTATTATAGCAGAACTGGAACTAAATGCTTTGGCAATGTTTCTTTCGGTGAGGAATGGAGACTGAAGGTATTCAGTGGTATCCTTAGCCTGGACCATGCTAGCAACGAAGTAAAAGTCGGTTGGTATTCGATTTCGCTTAAAGTCATATCTTTTTGGTTCTACTAAAAAATCAAGGTCATCACTGATACTAAGTAGTCTTTGTGTTGTTCAAAGCTCTGATATTTACCATTTGTCCAAAGTTTCTATTTTGCATACTTGAAGATGACCTCTTTCTGGCTCATCAGATTCCATAAATGCTCTTTTTGTTTTTCTCCTTTACAGAATCTTTTATCAGTGATTATTTTTTTTTATAATGAATTTTCTTTATTGTAACAAATAGACTAGCACAACATGTATGAACAAAAGGTATACAGAATGGCATATTCACACAAAGGAAGTATTAAATAATTAAACAACAATTGAATATATGATGGCGCAACAATAGGTTGAAAATAAATAATTTTCTTATAACATTGGAATCTTATTTGTTCTTGCAATATTTGTTAGTGGTGTTTTAATCAAAATTCAACATTTATTATTTATTCTATAATAGGGGCCCAGGGACTCCAGTATTTGTTATATTCATCTACAGAGAGTTTTTTTAAAATGAAATGTATTTCAATTAACTAAGTTCAAGTGTTCCTTTAAATAGTTTTTTAAAGCATTTAAATTTGGCAAAACTTCTTGTAATTTTGTTCGGTAAATTTAGTTTTTGAAAGCAGAATAATCTTATTTTTAATAAAATTCAATTTAACATTTTCGTAGATACCAAATAGAATAATCATTATATTCAAAGGCAGTTCAATATTTGTCATTTCAAAAATCCAGATGTTTAGTGCATGCCAGAGGGTGGCGACCATCGGACAACTCCAAAATAAATGTTCTATGGTCTCTTGTCCTTCTTTGCAAAATGTACTACTATTTATTTTCATCTTGTTAAGTAGTGAATTAGTTCCTAAAATGCTATGTATAATTCTATATTGGAACCAGCAAAGCTTAGTGCTTCTAGTATATTTTGTACACGAAGTGTGTATTTTTTTCCAGTTAATACCAGTCATATGGTTCTCCCATTTTTCTTTTGCAGCAAAAGTAATATATTTCTCATTCAATACTTTGTACATGTCCTTTGAACCTTTTTTTGATTCAAAGAAGATACTTATGTTAAAAGGTAGTATTGCTTGAATTTTTTTCTCCTTTACTTCAATATTGATCGTGTTATACCACTCATTAAGCGAGTGTGCTATTCCATAATAATGTAAAATATTTGGCCTAAATTGATATAATTGTTGGAAATTTTGAAATGACATAACTTTGCCCTGATAATCTAACAAGTCATGCACTGTCCAAATTCCAGCGTTTGCCCAGTTTTTATAGTAGACTCTTGAACCACCAATTTTAATGTTTTCTACCTCCCATAAAGAATAAGATAGAATTTCATCAATACATCTTGGTTTTCTAATTTGATTAAGGGTTTTCCATGCATCAAAAACCTCTTGCCAAAATTTTTGATGACCTTTTAATAGGCCCAATATAACTTAGTTCACTAAAATTTATTTGCTCCACAATAGAGACTAATCTCACCCATTTTGAATTCGAATTATACAGCCGTCTTACCCATGTAAGTTTCAGTCCCTGTATAAATGCTTTTAAATTTAGCATTTTTAAACCACCCATATAATAATCTTGACATAAAAGATCTCGCTTGACCTCATCAGGTTTATTATCC